ATTTTCCTTCTGCCACTCTCCATTGCTTGCTCTCTCTCTCTCTCTCTCTCTCTCTCTCTCTCTCTCTCTCTCTCTCTCTCTCTCTCTCTCTCTCTCTGTCTCTCTGAGACTCCTTAAAGGGATAGGTGGGATAAGATGGGATGGTGGAACTTTTACGTTATGCCTTTGGGGCCGGAGATATAATACAGGGGTTATGGTATCTGCCTCATAACTCAGTTGACTCATGTTCAATCCCCAGGACAACCTAAGTTCCCTTAAACACTGTCAGAAGTGATCCCTGAGCACAGAAGCAAGAGTAAGCCCTAAGAACCATTAGGTAGGGCCAAAAAAAAAAAAAAAAAATCAACAATTTCCTTCTTCAGAAATCCGAATGGCTAAAAGGCACATGAGAAAATGTTCCACATCATTAATCATCAGGGAGATGCAGATCAAAACCACAATGAGATATCAGTTCACACCACAGAGACTGGCCCATTTCCACAAGAACAAAAGCAACCAGTGCTGGCGCGGATGTGGTGAGAAAGGGACACTCCTTCACTGTTGGTGGGAATGCCGACTGGTTCAGCCCTTCTGGATAACAGTATGGATGATTCTCAAAAAACTAGAAATTGAGCTCCCATTTGACCCAGCAATACCACTCCTGGGAATATATCCCAGAGAGGCAAAAAAGTATAGCCAAAGTGACATCTGCAATTGTCTGTTTATTGCAGCACTCTTTACAATAGCCAGAATCTGGAAAAAACCTGAGTGCCCGAGAACAGATGACTGGTTAAAGAAACTTTGGTACATTTACACAATGGAGTACTATGTAGCTCTTAGAAAAGATGAAGTCATGAAATTTACATACAAGTGGTACTACATGGAAAGTATCATGTTAAGCGAAATGACTCAGAAAGAAAGGGATAGACATAGAAAGATTGCATTCATCTGGGGAACATAAAGTAACAAAATAGGAAACTAACACCCAAGAATGGCTGAGATGAGTACCAGGAATTTTACTCCATGACTTGGAGGCCAACCACACATAGTAGGGGAAAAGGGAGCTCAGATAAAGAGGGGAACACCAAATAAAGGTGTTGGGAGGATCCTCCCAGGATGGGAGAAGCATGCTGAAAGTAGACTATAGACCAAACATGATTGCCACTCAATGTTTCTTTTGCAAACCACAACACCCAAAAGGAGAGAGAGAGAACAGAGGGGAATGCCCTGCCACAGAGACAGGGTGGGATGGGGGGTATGGGGGGTGGGAGGGATACTGGGATCCGTGATGGTGGGAAATGGGCACTGGTGGAGGGATGGGTATTTGATCATTGTGTAATTGAAACCCAAGCACAAAAATGTGTAAGTCTGCAACTGTACCTCATGATGTCTCACTGTTAAAAAATTAAAAAAAAAATTCCTTCTTCATTCTTTGCTGCACTGCACTGTACTGCACTGTCCTCCCATTGTTCATGAATTTGCTTGAGCGGGCCCAGTAATGTCTTCATTGTGAGACTTGTTGTTACTGTGTTTGGCATATTGAATACGTCACTGGGAGCAATAGCACAGCAGGTAGGGTGTTTGCCTTGCACACAGCCAACATGGCCGACCCGAGTTTGATTCCTCCGCCCCTCTTGGAGAGCCCGGCAAGCTACTGAGAATATCTCAACCGCATGGCAAAGCCTGGCAAGCTACCCGTGACATATTCGATATGCCAAACACAGTAACAAGTCTCACAGTGTTACTGGGCCCGCTCGAGCAAATCGATGAACAACGGGAGCACAGTGACAGTGATTCTTCACTGAGGTTACCAAATAGTTGGTAAAATGTGAAATATTCATACAATCTTAAGAGAAACCAGAGTATTCCAAATAGTTGAAAAAACCTGAATGAACATTTTGGAGATGAGATCACTTTAGGGAAGATTTGATCTTGATAGTTTTTATTTTTAATGTGCCAGAGACATAGGTCAGCAATAGAGCACTAGTCAGTGTTCAGTGGGGGTTCAATCTCTAGCATCTGTTATATATACATAATATATGTATTGTATTTATCATGATTGTCTCAATTATGATTCAAGGCGTGCTACATATGACTTTCTTGAGTAAGTCATGACAAGAGAATTGAATTTGGGGGATTTTTTGTTTGTTTGTTTTTGGGGAGTTTTAGGTGCTACTTCCAGCTTGAGAGTTGCATCCAGAGGATGATGTGGAGCCTGATTTGAATGAGGGGCTCCCACTTGCAGAGTCTATAGTTCACTCTATAATCTTTAATCTCTGTAATTTCCAGCTCTGGGGCTGTTCATTATTGAGAGTTATTGAATCTGTCATTGAAGTCTAAAATCAGGAAAAATGGACATGAAATAGTGACCACAAATTCTGATTTTGATAGAATAGTGTCTATTAGAATGTAATTTTAAAACAACAAAAAATGAAAGAAAAAACCCTAAAAAACAAAGAATAAAGAAAATGTCACTTCACCCCAAGTTTCCACACTTAAAATGCTCTGAAGATAGAACACTGGATAATTTATTTACTAATCAGTGGCAAGCTACTGAGAGTATTCGATATGCCAGACACAGTAACAACAAAGTCTCCAATGGAGACGTTACTGGGCCCGCTCGAGCAAATCGACGATCAACGGGAGGGCCTTTACCTTTTACCTTTACCTTTAATCAGTGTATTATACTTGCCTATGAAATTTTTAAAAATAGCATTTGAGGGACTAGGGATAACTCAGTGGTTGAGTACCGACCTTGCCAGGCACACAGCCATGAGTTCAATCCTTGACATTGCCACACATTCTGAGTGCAGTCTCAGACACACTCAAGTGTAAAAGTACTATATCCAAATGTGTATTTTTCTCCCTCCCAGTCACAACCAAACAACAAAAGGGAAAAGAATGAGGGAATAATAAGACTTTCCCTATAAAAGGTCTTAAAACTAAGTCTTACAATCCTTTTGACTTAGGGAGGGACATGTTGGTTAGGCAGGAACATCTGACTCATGGCAACCAAGAGTTCCTTTCTGATTTTTTGATGCTGGCTCTTCCCATCACTGAATCAGAATTCACCAGGCCTTGCATTGTTCACAGACCTACTTTTATATTCTTTATAAATGTCAATATGGAATATCTTCTTGTCTATAAAATACTGATTTTTATAAAAGTATTTAAAGTCAGAATAGCTAAACATCAGTCATCTTGTTAATAAGCTGTTTTTCCTTTTTTATTCATACATAAAATTCTGAACTCTTTATTATTACTAATCATTACTATTTTATTACAGGCCATGGTTGCTTGCTATCCCGGCAATGGAACAGGTTATGTGCGTCATGTTGATAATCCAAATGGTGATGGAAGATGTGTGACATGTATATATTATCTTAATAAAGACTGGGATGCCAAGGTATGCAACTTAATTGAGTATGTCTTATATTCTCACAGGTATTTTTCTTCTCACAAAAATGAGACTTACTGAACACATGAACAGTTAAAATTTCTCTCAGATTTGTTTTAGTCTCTGTGGATCTCTGTAAAGTGGAGTAGACACAAATACAGCTCAAAGAATAGATGCTTTTATTTCAGAAACTAAAATGTTTCTTCCAAAAATTAACTTTAAAAGCTAGGGAGATAACTCAATTGGCTTTGTTTATAGGAGGCATGAGTTTGATCCCTGGCACCACATGGTCCTCTGACTACTGCCTGAAGCATCCCCTGTGTACAAAGCCACCAGGTGTGGTTCCTCCCCCCAAATTAACTTCTACAGACATGCTTCACTGAAATATCTTCCTTTAGGTCATTTTTATTTTACTCCACTGCATTAAATTTTTTTTTCTTTTTGCATCACACCCCAGCGATGCTCAGGGGTTATTTCTGTTTCTACACTCAGGAATTATTCCTGGCAGGGGATCATATGGGATGCTGGGATCAACCCTGGTTGCCTTATGCAAGGCAAACGTCCTACCCATTGTACTATCACTCTGTCCCCTCTTAGGTCATTTTCAAAAGACACTTCCAGGATTATTTTATAATTCTTTTTTTATGGAGATTGCATATAATCATGAGGGATTTTTGAGGTACTTCTTCATTTTCTTTGTATTGCTATAAATATATGTCATTAGGTTGTTGGATATTGGAAAGCAGGATTCTTCCCCTGATTCTAAAAAAAAAAAAACAGATTTTTTTAGTACTAACAGCCTTTAAAAAGTAGCTAAAGCATATATTTAATCTCTTGTTTCAAATACATAAATTTTTTAAAATATGTATTTATAATTTATAATCTTTAAAATAAGCCTGAGTTTTGGCTGGACAGATAGTATAGGGGTTAAGGCACTCGGCTTGTATTTGACCTATCGCAGTTCAATTCAAGATACCATATATGGTTTCCTCAAGCACTACCAGGAGTGTTCATCAAGGAACACTGCCAGGTCTGGCCCCAAAACAAAAACAAAGTGAATTCGATATATGCAACAGGGTAGATTTTACAGTAAATACATTGTGTAGCTAGGGTAATTTTTTTTCAAATCAGCCCTTAAAATACCACACAGCAAACAAAACAGAACAAAGCACCGCTCCCTATAATACACATAGACATAAAAAAACAAAAAACTACCAGGAATTTTAAAAACTTGAATTTTGCCACAGAGATTAGTACAGAGGTTCAGGTGCAGGCTTTGTGTGGTCCAGTCCCCCTTTTGATCCCTGCCACCATGTGGTATACATTGCCAGGAAAAGTCCTTAAGTCCCCTGAGCATTATCAGGGTGGATACTACTAAATAAGAAAACAAAATTTAAAAACAAAAAACAAAAAAAACACCCTTTTATATTAAAATCAGAAAATTTAGTCCTGATCTAAAAAAAAAAAATCATAAAGTGGAGGTAAGTTTTATTGCTAGTAGATTTTGAGGTATTATATCAACAGGAACTGTTATTTTATCAAGGTTAAAATAGAGAAATAAATCTGATAATTCATCTTAAACACATGGCACAAAATAAGTGGGTATAGCTTCAGTTAAAACTTGCTGCAAATATTCTCGCTGTCCTGATTTTGTAATAATCAGGACAGGCTAAAAATTTGCTATAATATGATCATGCATGTGTCCCCAGATCTAGTACTTTATCCATCTAGGTCTGGTCTTTGAAATGCTGGTGATACATTTAAAGAATCTTTTTTTTTTTTTTAATTTAAAATTTGGGGCCAGAGAACACAAAAGTTTAAAGCATTTACCTAACATGTGGCTAATATCTACAATCCTGGTTTGCATCTTGGCAGAACATATGATCCCGGAGCACATTCAGGAAGTGGCTCCTGAGCACAGAGCCAGATGTGCCACCCCTGCCCCCCTAGTTTATTTAAATTTTTATTAATGAATCACCGTGAGGTACAATTACAGAGTTATAAACTTTCATGCTTGCGTTCCAGTCACACAATGATCGAGTACCCATCCCTCCACCAGTGCCCATTCTCCACCACCAATGATCCCAATATCCCTCCCACCCACCTCCAGTCCCTTACCCCCCACCCCCACCCCCCCGCACCTGCCTCTGTGGCAGAGCATTCCCTTTTGTTCTCTCTCTCCTTTTGGGTGTTGTGGCTTGCAATAGAGGTATAGAGTGGCCATCCTGTTCGGTCTATAGTCTACTTTCAGCACACATCTCCCATCCCAGGCGGGTCTTCCAAACACCCTTTACTTGGTCCCCCCCCCAATTTAAAACTGGACTTTTTTTTTCAGGTTTTGTGAATATTTAGAAAACTGGAAATACATTTTCTTGTCCTAATTTCTGTATTTTGTCAGGCTTTTTCTAGACTGATCTGCCCAGCCAGGGTTTATATGTTATATATTACACATAAGCAGAAAAGTTTGTAGTTTTATGTGTAGAACTAAAAAAGTTAATTTCAAGATTTCACTGAATAGCAGTTTACAAAACATTATTCTTGGGTACTGTGGAGACACCACAAAAATAGAAATAGTCTCTGATTCAGTAGAGTCAGCTGATCTATAGATTAGTAGATTGACAGTTACAGTAGGTTCTGCTCAGTGCAGGATAGATATAGGAGCTTGTAAGGAGAGTAACCTAATTTAGAGATCAGTAGAGGTTTCCCAAAGGAAGAAGGAAACTTCAACCATTGCTTTTTAAAATCTTTCTTAGTAGATCACTTGTGATATTCCTAATGATTCCAGCCAAAAGGACTGGTACAGAAGAAATAAAAAGACATGTTTGGACTTAAGACCATGTACAGCGGTTAAGGAGCTTTCCTTTTACTCAGCCAAACCCGGTTCAATCCCCAGTACCACATATAGTCCCCCAGAACACCCCCAAGAATAATTGCTGAACAGTGCCAGGTGTGATCCAAAAAAGAAAAGAAAAGTGATTAGTCACAGTCTACAGCAGAAATTCCAAACTTATTTGACCCACTTCATTTTTGGAGAATAAAAACTTAGTGCCACATCCTACCTTTTAATTTTTTTGGACCATATCTGGCAGTACTTGAAGTATAGAAGACTTTGAGGGTATCAAGCCAAGGCCTCATGCTGCAAGTGTGTGTTGCTGCTGAGTTCTCTTTCCAGCCTCAAAATAATACCTTCTTTAAGCCATCTGAAAGAGTTCCCCATTTGTACCTGAGGCTACTAATCCACTCATAGGATACTTCCTGCAACCCTGGAGGCTTTGGGAAAACACTGGTCAGAGGTTCTTGAGATGTTTACATGGTGTATTTTAGTAATCTCTCTGAACCATTCTAAAATCCTGGAAGTCAGGCTAGGACACCAAGTTGCTTGAATTAAACAGCTTCTCTAGGTGACCAGAGATGAAGCTCAGTAGTAGCACAGTTTAAGAGTCTGTGTGCTAAGGAATTTCATTTTTTAAGCATTAAGGGCCACTCAGGTATGTTTCACTTTGCCTTAATTCCCCCCGGGGCTGGAGCGATAGCACAGCGGGTAGGGCGTTCACCTTACAAGCGGCCAACATGGCCGACCCGAGTTCGATTCCTCCGCCCCTCTCGGAGAGCCCAGCAAGCTACCGAGAGTATTCGATATGCCAGACACAGTAACAACAAAGTCTCCAATGGAGACGTTACTGGGCCCGCTCGAGCAAATCGACGATCAACGGGAGGGCCTTTACCTTTACCTTTTTTAATTCCCCCCACATTATGAATATCATGAGGACAAGAACTGTCTACATTATTCTCTACTTTGTACCCACGGCCCACCCACCACAGACCTGGGAACTGCAGAGAGTGCATATAGTCAGGATTGTAATGAATATCGAAATGCCAAACACAGTAACAACAAAGTCTCCAATGGAGACGTTACTGGGCCCGTTCCAGCAAATCGACGATCAACGGGAGGACCTTTACCTTTACCTTTACCTGTAATGAATAGCTTAGTCTAATCTCCGAAAAGGAAGGGTATTGTGTGTGTATGTGTGTGTGTGTGCGTGCGTGTGTGCATGTGCGCGTGTGTGCAATCCTTTATGGAAGTTATCCAGTTTATGAGCAAGTTATGATTAGTGTGTCCAGTGCACTCTGGATGGAGAGGCGAGAACTACAGCTTCTAATAGTGACCATCATGGTGATGATAATGGCAGGGAAGAGGGGGATGAGTTGTTTTTAATATAGGCCCTGATGGTAATTGGTGGTGGTAGTGGCAGTGGCTTTAAGGATAATACCTCCTTATTGATGTATTGAATTTTGACTATCCTGTTAATTGTTTTAACATCCTATTAACAACTTTAAAATAAAATAAACTACCCTACCAGTGCCAGAATGACCCTAAGCTCACTGGGGTGCTTCTTCCCCCTAGAAAATAAAATAAACATTTCAATTCAGAGTGATTTAAAACCATCCATTTTAAGTGTGGGTTAAACCATTAGTGTACACAGAAAAATGCATGCTATATCTTAAGATGTAAGTATACATCTTACAACTTTTAAATTTTGATATTTGTTTTGTTAGGTATTCACAGAAATCCCTTATAAGTGTAGTTTTCTATGTATTGTGGATGTACAAAAGAGTCTCAACTCATTTTATATCTTTATATTCAGAAATATTTGTAAGTAGCACAGTTAAGAATTTTTGGTCATAATAAAGATTTCCCTCTAGGTCCCCAATCCCAATACTTAATTTAGCATTCTAGTTTCTTATACTATTATATATTTGGCTCTTTTCATAGGTAAGTGGAGGTATACTTCGAATTTTTCCAGAAGGCAAGGCCCAGTTTGCTGACATTGAACCCAAATTTGATAGACTGCTGTTTTTCTGGTCTGACCGACGAAACCCTCACGAAGTACAACCAGCATATGCTACAAGGTAATATTCCTTTTAAGAAAAAATTGGTTTGGTAGAATAGGAGGGGATACATAGATAAACTTGAAGGCTTTTTAATGAATTTAAAGCTATCTTGTTCTTCAGATTCCTTTGTCTTGTAATGCTTCATTTATAATAGATTTAATTTGAATAATTTTCAGATTTATTTTCAGTCAGTACGAAATGTTGTGACTTTCTTTGTATAGCCATTTATTGTTTGGATAAGAAGTGGAAGTAGATACCCTCTCATCTTTCTAACCCCATCATCTTGTTTTGTGAATCTCTTAATTACTATTTGTTCTGATTTTGTGAGGGGAAAATAGGTTGGGGGATAGAATGGTTATGTAGAGAAGAGAAGGACATATTTTTAGAAGGTAAGGTGGGGGGAAAAGAGAGAGGGATGGTGTAGAAAAAGAGTAGAAATTTGAGGTAACCACAGTAGAAATGAAGAGAAAAATGAATAAGAAAAAGAAAATAGAAAAAAATGTTATATGTAAGAACAAATGTTAGAAAAATAAGACTTCGGTCTTAATAATAAGTATCTTTAAGTCATATTCTTTGTACATTATATTTTATGTTCTCAACATTGTCTAAAGGGTGTAGTATCATAAGCCTATTTATTATATGTAATAAATTATTTATTAAAAAATAAGGGTGGCAGAGAGAGTACAGAGGTTAAGGCTCTTACCTTGCTTGCAGCCAATTGATTAAGTCCCCAGTTCAGTATGGTCCCCTGAACACTACAGAATCAGCCACACCCCCAATTATTATTAGCACTGAGCACTGTCCTCCCGTTGTTCATCGATTTGCTCAAGCGGGCCCAGTAACGTCTCCATCATGAGACTTGTTACTGTGTTTGGCATATCAGATACATCACAGGTAGCTTGCCAGGCTTTGTCGTGCAGGCAAGATACTCTGGATAGCTTGCCGGGCTCTCCGAGAGGGGGCGGAGGAATCGAACTCCTGTCGGCCGCGTGCAAGGCAAACGCCCTATACAGACCAGATCCCTTAGGATAGAAGGTTGCTTTCTTGAGTGCCCAAGCTCTTCAAAATTTTTACATTTCCAAAGGCTGGTACGATAGTTCGGCGGGTAAGGTTTATAAGCAGCCAACCCAGGTTGGATCCCTGGCACACCTTATAGCCCCTGCCAGTACTGACCCCTGGGCTCGAGCCAAGAGGAAGCCCTGAGCACCACCAGATGTGCCTGCCCCCACCAAAAAATTTTACATTTGCCCACTAAGTGGAATACTAAGTGTCAAAAGTTCAAAGGAAAGGGGGCTGGAGAGGGGCTGGAGTGATAGCACAGCGGATAGGGCATTTGCCTTGCATGCGGCCGACCCGGGTTCGGTTCCCAGCATCCCATATGGTCCCCTGAGCACCGCCAGGGGTGATTCCTAAGTGCAGAGCCAGGAATAACCCCTGTGCATCGCCGGGTGTGACCCAAAAAGCCAAAAAAAAAAAAAAAAAGAAAGGGGGCTGGAGATAGGACGGCCAGTCACACGCTTGCCTCACACGCCGCTGACCTGGGTTCCCTCCCTGGCATACCGGATGGTCCCCCAAGCACTGCAGGAATAACTCCTGAGGGAGAACCGCCAGGTGTGGCTCCCAAACAAAAAAAGTTTGAAGTAAAAGGAGTAACTATGGAAATGTCTCTTGTCCAAACTGGGCCTCTGGCCTGCAGACACACTCCTTTTATTACCTGGCCTTCTGAACTTGAGACTGTCTCCCAGGCCCGGCCACCAAGAACACATCTGGTCAGAGTAACAGGCTGCTGGACCTTCAGCCAAATGGCCCTGACCCTCCCCTTGGCTAATGTGGGCACATGTGCGTATGCATGTGGACACGTGAGCAC